CACGTCAGACGCGGGAGCGCCCACTGCGGCATCTCTCAGTATGGGCCAAACGGTCAATCAGATCAGTACGCCCGCCGGTGCACACATACAGCAGAAGAAGCACGCGTATCGAAAATATTTCTGCCATTCTAAGTTTTAAAGATTAGAAGTAGATTTTTCTTCAAACTCTAAGGTATCAAACCTGTATTAGATATGATTATAGGAACTACTATTACGCCCTCCAATCGCCATGATCAGCTTAGCTCATAGTCGTTGACGTTAAATACGTTGTTTATGTTAGAGACAGCTATGTCTATTATAAATGTTTCCTTTGTCTTCAGATTGTGTAATACAATGTCGGGTCCATTGTTATGTATAGTTCTATTCGTGAGTACAGAGCGATCATAGTATAGCTTGAAATTTTAATTATCTATCACATACTATATTATATATTTCTAATAGGGTATGTTATCTTTGCGAAGTAATCCATTTCGAATAGCTAGACTTTGGTGGACGATGTTAGCTATTTGGTTATGTCTGTGATTGTGTAATCGTTCTGGGTCAATGAGGGGCATCTTCTGTTGTATGCTGTTTCCTGTTTCTATTTTTATATTATTATTTTAAACCGTCCCCAAGCCACAATGTTTAATCCCTACGAATTTTTTCCTGGAAACGATCAGGAGCCTCTGAAACGTCAAGATTTTCTTAATATACTCATTTTTTTCCCATTTTCACCGCTACTGACCGCTTTTCAAAAATTACAAAGCTTTTTCGCCCGTGGTGCAGAAGTAACCTTGTGCCAAAATTTTATCTAAGTCTGGTAACAAGGGGACAAGGAATAGCGGACAGGCAGAGATGGTTTTTCGTGATTTACATGTCATGTAACATTCAAAAAGTACGACATTTCAATTTCAAAATCTTACGCGGTCGCAATACTTCCTTGCCAATGGCGTAGGAAGTAATAGGTAAACTTATCAAAACTACCTTAGCAAATGCTAATATGCTTTAATTATTTTAATTAAAAATTAAATGAAAAGGCGTTTATTTGTTCCACAAGTCGCTCTAAATTTAGCGTAATCTCAACCTTATAATACCGCCATATCTTTATTATTCCACAAAAAACGAAAAACATCAATGCATACCTAATTTTCATCTTTTGTTCTTTTATAGTAGAAAGAAAACACAAAATAGATACAACAGATGAATATTCCCCCTATAGCCCCACGGTACCTCATGAGTGTTTGGGTTGGGCCTTCGTGGTAGCTGAGGTATAAAAAAAAATCAGATTTTATCGCTATTGTAGGCAGTAGCAATCGGTTAAAATTGAACGGGAAATAATGAGATTGTTGAAGATCTTCTTTATAGGTAATTCGTGATCATATTCATATCGAACCCCGCATCACGACAGGTGTGAGAATTTAAAATGATAAGGTGTGGTAATGTTGTTAACAAAATGTAATTATTCATACCAGTCACCAAAGTGTGATTCTAGATACTGTGAACAGATTTGCAAGAATATCAACAGAGATCAATAGACATTTGGAACACTTCACTACGATCGAACAAAACTTTACAAAAACATAGTCAAATCACAATTCCTATAACAAGCTTTCTGACTGATTCGGTCTTATCATCCATTTAAAACAGAGGTCTGTCAATCCCATATGCCCACGCCATCGTATGCAAAATAATTAACAATAAATAAATTAAAAAAATACATAATGAAAAGCAAAAATAAACAATACAATACTTCCTTGCCAATGGCGTAGAATAGGTAAACTTATAAAAACTACCTTAGCAAATGCTAATATGCTTTCATTATATTAATTAAAAATTAAATGAAGATTCGTTTATTTGTACCACAAGTCGCTCTAAATTTAGCGTAATCTCAACCTTTGAACAGATTCAAGTGGTAGGAAGTGGGGTCTTGAGAGATAATACCGCCATATCTTTACAAGTCTGTGTATTTTTCCACAACAAACAAAAATATCAATGCATCCCTAATTTTCATCTTTTGTTCTTTTATGGTAGAAAGAAAACACAAAATAGATACAACAGATGAATATTAAAAATTTCGATACCTGTCACTGCGTTAATGAACCTTTCAGAGCATATATTGAGTATTGTGTGGCGTCCCCCCTTCCACTGTATACCCCTATAGCCCCACGTTACCCCATGGGTGTTCAGGCCTTAGGCCTTTGTGGTAGCTGAGATATGAAAAAAATAATTCAGATTTTTTCGCTTCGTGGTGTAGGCAGTAGCAATCGGTTAAAATTGAACGGGAAATAATAAGTTTGTTGAAGATATTCTTTATGACTACTACATGATCATATTCATCTCGAACCTCGCATCATGACAGGTGTGAGAAGTTGAAATGATAAGGTGTGGTAATGCCATGTTAAAAAAATGTAATTGTCCATATCAGTCACCAAAGTGTGATTCTATATACTGTTGACATATTTGTAAGTCTAACCAAAATGCATTAAAGCTAAGGATGCTTGCCTATAACAAGTTTTCTGACTGATTCAGTCTTATTATCCATTTAACACAGAGGTCTATGCTCACGCCATCTTAGGCAAAATCATTAGCAATAAATAAATGTGTGCGGTTGTATTGACCAGACAAGCATGAGGGATTATCGGTAGATATAATGATATAATAATATATCAATATTATGCGGCGATTATCATAGGGCATTTGAAATGACGTTATTTGCTTATCGTGTTTCGTCATTAAGCCCTTTTATTTGATACCCATATCATAGCGGTGACCACGGAAATCATATATGTCGCCATTCAGCCAATAATTAGCTACATAAGGTGTTTTGTCTAGAAGAACCCTCCACTTCGACAACCCCTCATTCCTCCATTTTGGAATTTAGAGTGCTGAATTTTATATCAAAGAAAACTTACACACCTGAGCTTTTATCCTATTTGTTACCTTTTCGAATTTTCATTTTTGCTCATACAGGGTGGTCGAAAACGACAATTGTACCTTTTCTCAAAAATTTCAAAATGCATTACCCTGTATTTTTGTTCAAGTTTGGATAAAATTTTGTATAATCTGTTTTTTTTGATACTAGACAAGAGTTTTTACGGCTATTTTTTCGGTTATTAGCACGTCTTTTATGGAACGGCTTAATTCCCTAAAATATCGCATCATCCTTGGGAACAAATAAATTGTTGATTAGTTACAAACTATCAAAATTAGCGACATCCAAGGCCGGAAACATTTTCCACACTACGAGATCGTTTTGAATCAAGTGGAGCAGTGGAATATAGGAAAAAATGTATAAATAATCCAAGTGTCACCGATGAGGCGAATCAGTTGGAGGTTCTATTAAAGTAGCAGGAAAATCCCCATTTAAGCGCACGGAAAATTGGATCCGAAACTGATATATGCAGAAATTCTTTCAAATCTGTACTCTTAGTCGCAATTTGGAACTAGCCCACTGTTTGTCTTTTGTTTCCATGGATGATATGATTTTTTCCTTAATTTTGGTGGTGTTGTTCTATTAAAAGCTTAATAACTCAAAATCTAGTGATTTGATCTGAATGAACCTTATACCATAAAAATTTCATAAAAAAATGAATCCAAACTTGTAAAAATATACAGGGTGATGCGTTTGAAATTTTTGGGAAAAAGGACAATTCGCGTTTTTGACCACTCTGTGCGAGCAAACATGAAAAATCGAAAAAGTAACAAATACGATAAAAGCTGAGGTGTGTAAGTTTTTTTTCTGATACAAAATTCAGCTCTCCAAACTTCAAAATGGCAGATTGGGGTTGATGAAGTGGACGGTTTTTCTGGACAAAACACCTTACATCTCTGTAGCTAATTACCAAAGCCCCATAGTATGTTATATTAATCTTTTTCTTTTGAATTGGTTTATCCAAATATGCAATAAAATTTGAGGCATTTTATTTAGAAAATCACAACCTTGATATGTAGGTCAAAATTTGGTCACCTTGTACAATTGCCAATATTTAAGAAATGTGCCCTCAAATGTCATGTATAACATGCCATAAATAGATTTACCCAAAATGTATTTGTTTATGAGTAATATTCCGTCCACACATGGATGGGTCACCCTGTATATGTACATTTAAAAAGCAGTAATTTGTGTCAATCAAACTAGTTCGGCAACATGTACCGCCATTTGGTTTATTAAATTGTACATCTTGCAGGGGTTATGGTCATGTGCATTGTGAGATATATGTATGTGTGATCTTTGTGCTTAGATTAACCAGATATTGTTAGTTATTTGTTAGGATATTTTATTCTGTTTCATCAATGTATTCCACATCGATGATTCTTATGTTTAAGTTCTATAACTGTTTTTTTTAATGTATCCTAAGTTGGCGGCCGCCTTATTGGACTCAGAGTAACATCGCGTTGCTTCTTATGTTACTATCATCAACCTCTTTATCTCTCTTTATAATAGGGGTCTTTGATAATTATAAATGCCATCTTGGTGCCACCCAACTTTGCTTATTGCATGTAGCTCAAAGCCTTTTCATTTGATACTCATAGCATAGGGGTGACTGTGAAGAATGTAAATCGCCATTTTGTGCCGCCCGCCATATTAGATTTAGATTGATGATACTCTGCTTATAACATTTCTCGCATCAAGCCCTTTTATTTGATTCCCACATCGTAGAGCTGACGATAAAATAGGTAAATCGCCATTCTGGGGCGACCGCCATACTGGATTTAGAGTGACGTCACTTAGCTTATTGTGTTTCTCTCGGCAAGCCCTTTAATTTAATATCCATATCATACGGGTTATTATGGAAATAATGAATCGCCATTTAGTAGCTTTAACCATATACGATTCAAAATGGTGGCAGTTAACTCATTTTGTAACGTCACGCAAGCCAAAGGTGTGCCCAACTTTTCAACTCAGTACTTAGTTACCAGATTTGTCCGATAGATACTAACATAATACTTATTAACAAACAGGACAAGTTGAATAAAACCTTATAAAAAACTGAGCAAATCCAGCGTTTGCTTTTACTTACCCTAAGTAACCCAGCACCAGCAATAGCTCCAACGCATTGGACTATGATGTAGAAAATCGCTCTCAATAGTTTGATGTCACCTGTTACGAAAAAGCTTATTGTGACAGCTGGATTCACGTGACCTCCACTCACATGTCCGATTCCCTGAAACAAAAATTGCATGAAATATTCTGAGGATAACGCCCAAAAATAAACTGGTCGGAGTAGACAAAAAACGAAGCTTGATGAAGTCAAACAGACCGTTCACTCATAAGTTAAAGAGTTCAATTTTTATTAAGCATAGTATTCTTGTATGTCATCAAAAAATGGAGTCAAGGGATTGACTGCACTTTTTATGAAAAGATATTACCTTCGGCATTAGTTAGCACCTCTTTGAAATAAGTTAACCTAGAACATGTACAACAAGGGAATTCAATGGATCAAGTCATTAAAATAGCTTCAAACAATTAGTCTTCAGCCTCCGGTCATGGCACCTCCAGAGAATCTAACTGACATTTAAAATTTGCGAAGACAGCATATATTGTGTACAATATTCAAGATTTGGCTCCCTCTGAGGAAATTTGCTAGCCCACTCCTAATTTTTTGTTGGGGGCTGACCTGCGACGTAGCAACCTTGGGTGGCACGCCGAGCGGAAGTTGGTGATGTCATCTTCCTCTCCGAGATGTAATCGATTTAATTTTATTCTCAATTTTCAATTTTTTTGTTCCTGAAGATGAGGACTGCAAGCTTTATAAAATGCAAATATATGGTGAGGTCTCTGCATGGAATAGATGCGTAAAATTATCGGGATTAGAAACGTATAAAATATACTAACGCCAAAAAATTACACCCTCTCACCCAAACTTTCAAATGTTTTATCCCCTAAACATTTTTTCAATGTGAGCAGGGGTTATGTTTTTGGCGATTTCAATTTTCTTCATTTTTTTCCGCAGTTCCTTCACCAGTGGATCGATTTTCACAAACTACACAGATTTTTCCTCCTTGGCATAGATGTACCATGTGTTAAAGCTTCATTAAAATCCGAGCGGTACTTTCCAAGTTATAGATGTATCAAAGATTAATGGGCGGATAGACGGACCGACGGAGGCGAGACATGGTTTTTCATATATACATATCTCATGTAATCTCAAAAACATATCTCTTTCTTGTTTTTTTGAACAAATGTAATATTTCCTCGATAGTAACATGGGGATTAAACGCGACATTTGAATTGATATTTATTACTTAAAACTCGTATCAAACTTCCTTCGTTTTTAAGAACTGTTAATACAGGGTGAAAGTATATATAACTGACTAACTTAAATTGCGCGCCATTTTTGATACAGGTATTTCAGTAGGTGGCGCCGTAGTAGTTGTTTAAGTCATCATGGAGCGCTGCACCATCCAGCAACGCGTCCGTATTGTTAAAACGTATTACTTAAATAATGAGTCGATTGGTGCGGAAATTTTAACAAACAGGTGAATTTAAAGACTTCGTCGGGCCGTATTCGAACTGTTCGTACTCCGGAAAATATCGAGAGAGCCCTGAGATGGCTACCAGACATCGTTCTCAAGAACTGGGTATTCGTCGCACGTCATTATGCCCTATTTAAAAAAAGACCTGCATTTGCGGCCATACAAGATTTATTTAACCCAAGAACTATAGTCTAGTGACCATGAAAGTCGCCGACAATACAGCCATGCAATATTGTAGCTTAATACTCAAAATAACGATTTTTAACGACAACTGATAATGAGCGGTTAAGCCCACTTCGGTATGAACAGATTTGTCAATAAGCATAATTGTAGTATCTGGGCATTTGAGAACCCTCGTGTCATTCATCAACGACCACTACATCCTCGTCGAGTCACAGTTTGGTGCGGTGTTTGGTATGGAGGTGTCGGTGGACCTTACTTCTTTGAAGACGCTACAGGCAGTTTTCTTGCTGTCACTGGCGAGCGCTACCGCGATATGGTGCATAACGTTCTGGCTCCTCAAATCCAACAATTTAACCTGCAAAACATGTGGTTCCAGCATGACGGAGCAACTTGTCACACAGCTAGGGAAACAATGAATCTTTTGCGAACAATATTTCCGGGACGTTTAATTTCTGGATTTGGTGATGTCAACTGGCTGCCAAGGTCACCGGACTTTATGGCTCCTGACTTTTTTTCATTGGGATTTTTGAAAAATACTGAAGAACCATATTACGGAAGCGGATGCAAATATTCCTCCCGAAACCTACCAAAAAGTGATGGAAAATGTAATCAAGAGGGCTCAGGTTTGCGCGGCTTCTAGAAGCGGACGTTTGTCTGATTATGTTTCACTACATAATTTCTAAGTTTCAATAAAATATTAAGATGAAAAAATATTACGTATTTTATTTCATTTCATAAATATTCAAGATAAAAACCAGTCAGCTACATATCGGCCAACCTGCATAAGCTGGAAATGCTAATTGTGGAAACCTATATGTGGTAAAAGGGGCAGCATTTAAGACCTAACCAGCTAGATCAAAAATATATATATTGCAGGCTCACATTCTTTTTACTTGAACCACTACAAAGGCCTAAAGCCTAAACACCCATGGGGTACCGTGGGGTTCTAGGGGGATACAGGAGAAAAAGGGGGGGGGGACGCCACACGGACTCTAGCGAGGGAGCACGTGTTTATGCAGCATGCACACATTTTGGCCCCGCCTATGAGATCCGCCGGGTGGTACCTCCGCGTACGACAGTCAGAGATCGTTTACCACCTATGGACAATCAGAACATCCATGGCCAAGAGAAAAATTCTCTTGGGATTCGAACCAACTGATAGGAGACCCATAACCTCTACCATTATGCCACCGCTGCTCAGTCTAAGCTATTCACGAAAAAATCATTTTTACAGTTTGGATAAGAATCTAAACCATTTTTTTTAATAATTGTTCCATATATTTTATAATTTTGTAGGATATCCATAGGATAAGATTCTCATAATAAAAATCGAGACATATAATTACGACTATTCGATTACTTTAATGAGAGCGAACCTTCCATACCATTTACGCTGTTAGATGCATAAATATAAGACCGTTATGTGATTGTAATAGCTTATTGGTATCTCATTGTTCCATCAGTACCGTCTCTTCCTCATCATGAAAAGTAGATGAGATATTATTTAATCAAAGGTCAAAGTCAATGATGTACGGTATAAGCAATTTATCAAATTAAAGGAAAGTGAATGTCTGCATGTAAAGCTTGATTGTTGTGTGTATGCAGCTCCAGAAAAAAAGCAAGATACAAATAGTACCGAGTTGTGCAGTCAGTAAAAAAACAACAACACGATCTGATGAGAATAATTGTTTTGCATTCAAAGCTGAGGAATAATGCTGCTTTGTCATTTTGTACTCAGACAAGATCCAACAGTAGATCGCATTTTTCATTTGCATGAACATGAAAATGCGTTATAACAAAGCAAGTTATTTGGAAAACACATTCTTCATGGTACCGAGTGGTTACCCTTCGTAGCTCTTCCCTACTAAATCTCGGACTCTCAGCTGCGTGGGGCCCTCGGATTGAGTATTATTCACTACTCGACCTCATCTCTTTTTATGCTTTTTTTGGTACGCATTCAGGGATAGTGGTTCATGTAATCTATATCAACTGCCGAATACTGTTTTAGTATCTGCAAGGTAGAGATCCGATCCTTTATAATTAGTAGTGAGCATCTTGCCTATCCTCAATTCCACCTGACTCTAGTAGTCAACTTATATTTGAGTAGATGATCAAGAGTATCCTCCTCTTCATTGAAATATACGCAGTTCGCATATTCTCTCTCTATATTTTTCCTACTCTCTTTAGGTGGCTGTCAAAACAACGACTTCCTGTGAGAAACTGTACAGTATAGGTACCCGCTCTGCTACCTTGTCAATCCTGCATGGGTATCGTGTATCTTGAAAAGTGACGTTATATCGATTTTTTGACATTATACTATTTTTTTCTGTTAACTTAGTACTTAGTTGTACGTGTTGCGTAAACATCATGAGGCTTTAGTTATCAATGTTTGACTCTGATGTGATGTAAAATCTGCTGCAGAGATGGCATTACTGCAGTTCTAAGCTGTAAGTTGTATCTGTTGATAATTCCATTGGATTCTTGTCTCAAATACACTTAATCGAGATTCAAAGCTAGAAACTAGTTGCGCATCCACTTTTTCTCATCCATTCTGGAAATTACATCTACAAATTTGCTGAATTTCAAAAATGAGAGAGATAGATAATTATATTCACTGTACACCGTCGAAGTACAAGCCATATACATGCTAACAGTATTTACACACAACGCGGGCGCGGTGATGATTTTCCGTAATTCCCCTCAATTTTTCACAGTTAATAACTTTGAACATAGCCTCTCTTCAGAAAGCACAACATATAAATAACCCGTCATATTCAGCATATTTAGTGATACTTTTCTCAACTTTCTTCTCAGAGATAAAAGCTGCAGTCATGGACCACTCAGCCTCACGAAACGTATGCAACCAATAATGCGTGAAGTTTAGTTGAGTGATGTCTCCATAGGTGGACGTTCACAACGATTCGAGTAAGCAAACGTGGAATGACTGTTTGCGTCCTAAAAACTACTAGTCTGCAAGTTGCATTTAAAATGTTTTTTTTGACGGCTTTATTTGCCTTAACAGTGGTGCAAAATCTTTCTCATTACCATCCCTAAGAACCGACAAGTATCACCAACTTCGTCTTCTCGAGATCTAATGTGATACTGCTGCCTAGAAGCTGATAGCGCTGAGTAGAATTCTGCAGCTTTACCGTAGTGGCATGCTCAGTGGATATGCCACCTTCTGGAGAATCTTACATTTATCTATCTATACTATCAGGCTTTTCTGCTGGAGAGTGGTTATAAAAGATTTCTTTATCCAAAAAATTCTTTTTTCGCATGTTTTTCTTTCTCTGATTACTATACGAGATCTGTAAATCGAGTTATGGGAGAGGCAATGTAGCCTTCGATCTAGCAATACTTGAGGCGCCGAGATTGGAGGGGAGGCAGGGGACCATATGATCCGCGATCAGTACAAGTATGAACTCGCTCGAGTATTTTGGTAGTCCGTAGCGATTTTTTTTGCGTTCTAAAAACGAGTTTCATCAATTTGAAGCAACGGTGTGCT